TTTTAAGAACTCTGATGTTAAATGTGCTCAATTTGAAGTAGTGCAGTGATAGCTGACTTCTCGAGTAATCATCAAAATACAAAAGTATACCTCGCATGGGTAGACGGTAGGCCCAAAATGAACAATATCTTGATCGGTAAAAATGTTGAGATGGTACAATAATCTTGTGAAAAGACTTTGCGGGCTAGAGGGTAAAATACCTCGGGTACCACTTAAGTTTGAGAATTGAGGTAGACATACCCACTTAAATTTGAATAGGGCGTCGGGTACCATTAAAGTTGTCAAAAAGTGCATTCGTCAAGTTTTTCATCCAACCCGAACTTTTAATTACTTTTTGGTACCCAAAACTTTCAAAAACAACCAAAACCATATTTTTAACAAGTATTATCTAATATAAAAATTAGAAACCTTCTAAACATAATATTAGCAGAATGAGTAATGAAATTTTTTCAATAGAATAGATAAATTAGTAAAAATAATAAACGAATATCAAGAAGATATAATAAATATGCTAAAAGATAATAATAAATATGTAAAATTAATATTAGAAGATATATTTAAACCTCCAATCCAATTAGAATCACCGCTAAAAATAGATAAAATAGATACTAATCGACCACGAATAAATCAAGACCAAAGAATGATAAATAGAACACAATAAGAGTTAAACATATTCCAATAATTGAAAAGAATTTAGAAAAAAAATAGAGGGAAACTAACCAAGCAATAAGTAAACTATAAAAGCTACAACATTCAGTAACAAGAGCACTTCTACTATGCTATATAGCATTGGTGCTTTAATGTACAACTTGAAGTTGTACCATAACATTAAATGTATAAGTTTAGGTTGTATCATAAAAGAATTTGTATCATTATGTTATGGTACAACTTTACAACTTGAAGTTGTACCATCACATAAAGTACAAGTTTAAGTTGTACCATAAAAGAATTTGTACAAAAAGTATAGGTACAATCTGAAGTTGTACCATAACGTTAAATGTACAATTTCAAGTTGTACCATAAAGGCAAAAACCTATAGCACCAATGCTATATAGCATTGTAAAATTCCACCAGTAACAAATCTAGAAAAGAAAATAAGACTATAGGAAGAGAACTATAATTAGTTAATGTTGGGGGCATAGGCATGAGCCAAAGAAAAAGGAACCAAGAGAGACACAGGCTCGAGCCCAAGGGTCGAACGGAGAGGCCCAAGGAGATCCACAAGGGAGCTGGCGTGGGCCCAAACGCACACAAAGCGCAACCCAAGAAGTCAGGTGGCATGTTGATCAGGTGGGGCCAGGCACCTGACAAGAGGCGCATAAGACAAAGGACACACAGCGGGCGAAAACGTACGAAAAGCTGACCTCATGATGTCATGTGCTCTGAACCTCTGATAGAGGAGGCAGGTGGTCGAGGCGCATGGCGAAAAAGAGTACGACGCATTTATTACAAGGCTGACGTGGGGCGAAAATGATGGACAACGGTCGCCCGGGATCTTGGTATAAATAGTGAAGTAGGTGAACCTCATTTACTCAGTTTGGATTTCTCTCACTAAAGCTTCTCATCACTTCTCTCTCTAAATTGTGGTGCTAACTTGTGTGTTAGAGTGCTAACGGACCGACAAGGTCCGCTAGACGCTTTGTGCGCAGGGAGATCGACGCCTTGGGGGCACCGAAGAAGGAGGCGAGAATTCACTTGGCGGAGGGTAGATGAGAAGGGAGCATAGCGGTCGCGGGCACATGGCACAAACAGTAAATTTAACTAATATGGAACACCTATTAATATTATATTAGAGAATTACAAGAGATTTAACATGGAAAATTAGATAAACACAAGCATGATGTAAGAAAACTAAAATATAACATCCTCAGAGTATTTATATCGAGACAGAATTCATAGAATATATTTGCTTCAGGGAATAGTTCAATTATTAGAACATATAATGACAAATAAAAATACTTATAATAATAATTAATTATAAATTTCATATTAAAAAATAGGTTTGGTATGAGATTCTTCAGAAGAGGATTCATAAGTCCAAAGGATTATTTTTTATTCCAACTAAACAATAAAAAAAATGATATTTTCATAAGTCAAAATGATTGTTTACAATAAATAAAGTAGAAAAATCAATCTTAGAATTTAAAAAATGGAATATTACAAGAATATTCTGGCAACTTTAATGGAATGCACTTAACACTAAACTTAAGTCGTACCGGATGCACATATAATAGAGTTAGTGACACGCGATGCCCTATTCTTACTTAAATGGTATAGCTTTTCAAATTCTCATATTTTAATGGTACCTGAGATATTTTACCCACGGTCCAGACGTTGTTTTCGTAAAACATGCTCTCCTATAAGCCAATTTTTAGTCTGATCAGACGTCAAAGTCCGAACCGAGACAAAACATGATTGGTCAAAATCTAGAAGATTGAAAGTCTGGAACGACGTCAGCCCCTTTGAATTGAAATTTCTCGAGGAATGAAATTGTAAAACAGAAAGTTGATTCAATGACCGAATCGTACTTTGCTTGGTTCACACTTCACAGATGGAAAATTACAAGATGCTACCTTTCCCCCTGAGCTAAGATCAGGTGACTAAAGGGGGGGGGGTCCTTAGTCATGTGACTAACTGAATCTCAGCCCTTCCCCCTCATTAAAATCCAATGGCTCAGATTAATCTCTTTTTATGAAGAACATGATAGTAAATACACAATTTCTTTATTTAGCAATTAAATTAGACAAAAAAAAATGCGGGCCCACAACTACCTGTCGTCGCTCCCATCGGGCGTTTCTAGGAAATTCTTCCCGACGGGCGACGGTCATCTCCCCGACTCATCCTAGCGCCGACGTTTTTTTCCCCATTCGGTCCACTTTTATGGGGATTTTTCCCATTCCCAGCACGAGAGAGAAAGAGAGAGAGAGAGAGAGAGAGAGAGAGAGAGAGAGAGATTGATTTTCGACGACAGCGGAGAAGGCTTTTCCGGTGACCGGAGATGGCATGCGATGATTTCCCGACGACATTGTTGGCTTTGTGATGTTTGTCCACCTATTTTGTAATGTTTATAAGTCTGTTTTGTAATATTTATATCAATTCTGTTTGTATTGTTTATATTCTTGTTTATCATCTTTCTCTATTACATTTGTAATGTTTATATGACTATTTTGTATATATTGTAATTTATAATGTTTGTTTGTCTAATTTGTATACTTTTATGTTATGATTTGTATACTTTGTATTGGTTGGTTTGTAATACAAGTTTACCGATTTGTATTGTAAGTAGTGATATTATGTATGGTTAGTATGCTTTGTACTATTTGTCGGTTTCTTTTGTAATGTTTGTAAGCTTTGTTATTATTGTCCACCATGTTTGTCATTTTTTCCAACCATGTTTGTAATGTTTTTTTGCCTAAAAAATAACCTGGTTGACTTTGTAATGTTTGTTTTTCTAGTTTGTAATGTTTGTTCATCTGGTTTGTAATGATTGGTATTATATAAAGTACCCAAAACAAAATAAGAGTACAAAGTATTAGTACTTACAATACAAACCGACATGACTTGCATCACAAATCAATACATATAAAGTATACAAATTAATATTACAAAACATAAAACTATACAAATCATACTGACATTATGTACAAAAATACTAACAATGCAAACTGACAACATTTGCATTACAAATCACTGTTCTTCCCTCAGACGACTACGATGTCAAGAGATCCGTCGTCGCCGCCGGCTCTTTCCACCACCACCGCCGACTCTCTCTACTGCCGTCGCCACCTCTCTCTCTCTCTCCATCGCCGCACCGCCTCTCTCTCCTCAACCGTGCCGACGCTCTCTCTCCGTTACTGCCTCTCTCTCCTTCACCATCGTCTCTCTCCTCTGTTTTCCCGACGACAACGACCAGATCTGCTTTCTCTCTCTTCAACGCTGCCGCCTCTGTCGCGTTCTCCTTTCCCTCTCTTTGTCGTTGTCGGCGCCGTCGAGATCTCCATTCTCTCTCTCCATCGTCGTCGTCGCCCCCCTCTCTTTCATCGTTGCCGTTCTTCTCTCCCCACTGCTGTGTTTCTCTCTCTTCCTTAGCCGAGGTTAGCAAGACAAAAAATGAAGATTGGAAGAAAAAAATATAAAATTAAATACATTTTTTATAATTTCAGGATTGCTCCTCTCACTATTTAATTATTGTTTTTTTTTCTAAATTTCACCATTAGATCAATCCATCTAAATCCAAGGACTAAGATGAACTTAGCCATGTGACTAAGCAGCCGTGCTCACCGGATCCTCCCTAGGGATGGCAATGGGTCGGGTTGGGTCGGGTTTTGCCAAACCCAAACCCATGGGTTTATCTTTGAAAAAAACCCGGGGTAAAACCCACTGGGTTTTAAAAACTCAAACCCAACCCAACCCGTTGGGTATCTGCGGGTTCATGGGTACCCACGGGTTTTGTCGTAAAAATTTTACAATTACAAGTTCTTATCAAAATTAAAGTCAAATATCAATCTCTCAATACAAATTATCCATATATAAAACACCATTCTAGAAAATTCAAGCAAATCACAAATTAACTATACAAATTGTTCAACACCAATCTAGAAAACTCAAAAAAATTGCAGCAAATCACAAATTTTCCATAAATAACATGTTTAATTTAAAGTTTCTTCCTTTCAATTAAGTTTCTTTACTCTCCACTCCATAACATCAACTTCATTCTATACAATTAAAAAGAAAAAATTAGACTTGTCTCCACAAACATAAATAAGATTAGTTGTTTAGAATATTAAATATACCGAAAAAATTAATTATATGGGTGAGCGGGTACCCACGGGCCGGGTTTACCTAAACCCAAACCCAACCCAACCCGTTGAATAGTGAACGGGTTTAAACCCAAACCCGGCCCAAAACCCGTCAACACGGATTTTACCCGCGTTGACCGGGTTGGGTCGGGTGGGTACCCGTGGGTTCGGGTTTTGTTGCCATCCCTAATCCTCCCTCCTTTCCCCCTTTGTTTTGGCCGCAGCAAACAACAATCCACATTCCACATCCACCAAGAGGTACAAACCCAACCCTCGTCCTCGGTCCTGCACAAGCTCCACCGTCTTCTTCCCCTTCCGCGACGGCGAAACCACCCCAGTCTACTCCAAAACCCTAGAAATTCCATTCCTGTGAACCTCCCCCCCCCCCCCCCCCCCCTCTCCCGTTTGACCTTCGATTGGCCTTCTCTTTGCGCCAAAAGATACCTGCACCCCGCCATGGACCTCCAGAGAGCTATGTTGGATGAGCTCATGGGCGCAGGTAAGCACTTATGCGGTTGATTGTGAGTGGGTTGCTGGATACGTTCCTTCTTTCGAGCTGATTGGATTTGCATTTCTCTTGTTAGATCGTAATTTGACGGAGGACGAGAGGAAGGATTACAAGGAAATTACATGGGATTCTAAGGAGGTTTGCCCGTATTACATGGCGCGATTCTGTCCTCATGACCTCTTTGTCAACACCAAGAGCGATCTCGGTGAGTTTCTGGTTTCATGCTTTTCTTTTTCTTGTTTGAGTTTCTTGCCTGGTTTCAGGTTTAGTAGTAGCGATGGGTTAAATTTATCGACTGTTTGTAACTTGGCAGGTCCGATAGCTTACTGCTTACTGGGAATTCGGCTAGTTTTTGCCAATTTCTAAACCTTTGGTCTTATTTAAATTTTCGCTAATTTGGCTTCTTCTCATTTGCAGGGCCATGTGAGAGAGTCCACGATCCCAAGCTTAAGGAAAGGTAACGTGGTATTACGGTCTTTGTAGTGTCTTATGGTGCTATCTTCCTGGTTTGGTATTGTATAGTATGATGACATGATCTGATAGATTTGACTGGTTTTGATTCATGTGTGAGTTTAGCTTTGAGAAGTCTCCTAGGCATGACAAGTTCTTGCTCAAATTTGAGTCCGAGCTCGCTCAGCGGTGTGATAAATTGGTAAACCTTATCTACTTCCGGGTTTCTATTCCTTGTTGTGGATTGAGTGGTACGATGTTTATTGGGACTGCTGGTGTGATCTGTTTGTAGGTGATGGATTTGGACAGAAGAGTTAGACGTGGGCGTGAGCGTATTGCTCAAGGTGAAGAACCTGTGCCACCTCCCCCACTATCAGCTGAGAAGTCTGAACAATTAGCTGTCATTGAAGAGAAGATAAAGAACTTGCTGGGGCAAGTGGAGTCCCTTGGTGAAGCTGGGAAAGTTGATGAAGCTCAAGCCCTTATGAAAAAGGTGAGCTTTGATTTAACTGGCCACAAGATCTTATGCTTTGAGTTTCTTGGGACTATGCCTTGCTACCCAACATGTTTCATTTACCTCCTTTTCCATGTAAAGGTGTTCGACACATTTTTGAAAATGTATTGCATTGTCCTTTTCCTCAGGTAGACGAACTGAATGCTGAGAAAATACTGATTCAAGCTCAGGGTGACAAGTTACCTCTGGTCCTTCCGGAGAAAAAAATGTCCTTGTGTGAGACCTGTGGATCTTTTCTCGTTGCAAATGATGCTGCAGAGAGGACACAGTCTCATGTAACCGGGAAGCAACATCTGGGCTATGGCTTAGTTCGTGATTTCATCAGTGAGTACAAGGTAAAGTGACAACTTTTTCCAATGGCCACATACATAATCATCATCTTTTTTCTCTAGTTTTAGTTTTTAATATGGAACTTTGGAATGCACACTCTCCAGGAAGCTAGGGAAAAGGCGAAGGAAGAGGAACGATTAGCAAGGGAGAAAGAAACTGAAGAACGAAGGAAGCAATCAGAGAAGGATCCTGACAGGAGTCGAAGGAGTGTATCAGGTGAAAGGGATCGTTATCAGGACCGAGACAGGGATAGGGAGCGGGACAGATACCGTGACAATGAAAGGTCGAGGGAAAGGAATGGTAGACATCGGGATGGTGGAAAGGGTTCCAGGAATGGAAGGGATAGGTACTATGATCGAAGTCGGTCACGGTCCCCTGGGAGGCACAGTAATAGAAGGAGGTCCTCAAGAAGTCCTGTTCGCCCTTATTAGTGGTTTCGGTAGATGGATGTCTGAGCTTTTATATATCCCATGAGGTAGACAAATTCAATCTCAAAGTCTTCTGAGCAAGTGCTTTTGGAGTCCTAAAGCTAAATCATCATCTTGGATGCCAAAATTTTCTCTTTCTATCTCACAGCTTTGATGAGACTGTACCCCACTTTCATCAGTACTCTTAAGAGGAGAGATTGGTTGAGGTAGGTATAACTTGAAATTTGTGCAACTCGTGTGTTTACTTGAAGCTTGGATGAACTTTATGCTATATGGGAACATCGATGTTAGAGGTATTCTCCTTCCTTTCTCTTTACTGGGTCATTTGATGACAGATCTGTTTCGATTCTGATGGATTTGAGGAGAACTCGCGATATTATGTTACAGAATGCCAGTGCTGCTATGCCATCATGATATATTTTATATATGTCTTAGCTGAAAGGTAACATATTAATGTCACCATTCGTTCACGACCGTGACAGCGAATTTTCTTGGTACACATATCATGGATTTGTGTGTCAACTCAACTAGTGTGGAGGTAACATAATTCCGAACTGCTAGTTCATTTCCAGAAATCTCAAATGCCCCTTGTTAATGCAAGTCTAAAGTCATTTCGCAGCAAGTTAATGATCACATATTAGTGACTGTTAAGCCTGGTTAAACATAGGTTTTCTGGATGATAATAGGTGTAAAATGGCTTCTTGCCATTTGCTTGTTTCAACACCACAAGAATCTCAATGGCTTAAGGTCCAAGAGTGAGCTGGTTATGGGGTAACTACTTTCTCTTAGTTGGGTTAAGTTTCATTTCAACCTTTTATAGCTCTGCCTTGGAACAACTGTTAATCTATGGTATTGGTTTCAACATCCTTGGAAATCTACTTCGGTGGTACCAAAAGGTTAAATCAGCTTACGGACTAGCACCGGTGTGGAATTGTGAGAGGTAAAACTTCAATGCACCCATGATATGTCTGCAGAATGGCTGTATTTGTATTCTAGCTTGCAGGAAAGTTAAGTGTTTGGGTGAAAAGCGTGATGAAAGAGTTGCTGATGGTTGGTTACAAGGCGTTGCCTCTATCTCATGCCAAATAACCAAGGTGGTAATTGGAAGATGACTATGGCTGATTGATCCTAACTTCTGTAGCATAAATGTGATTTCAGAACCCTAATAAATTCGGTTGTTTGTTTTGGCCATCAATACAATGTTTTTGTGAATGCCCATTTTTGCTATGGCTGTGCTGCAACATGAACACGGTCAATGGATTCTTGATGTGTGTCAACGATGCATGGAATGGTAATTTACTGCTACTAAGTAAAAAGTGAAATTTTAGAATATTGGACTAGCAATCGCTCTCTCCCTGTGATCACTTCTCTTTCCATCTGCAGCAATTCGCTAATGTTTTTTTTTTGATGAAGGTGAAAGTTGCATTAGAAAGAATAAGAAAAAAGAACACGAGTCTGAAAGTCGCACAAGAGGTGCAGACTCCCAACCCCAAAGGTCCAAAAAGCAACAACAGAACAATCCCAGGGGAAGCAGCCCCCAACCAACAAAACAAAAAAAAGGAAAGGAAACAGCAGAACAATCCCAGGGGAAGCAGCCCCCAACCAACAAAACAAAAAAAGGAAAGGGAAAGTAACAGCGAGCCGCAAGAGAAACAAAGAAAGGTCACCAGAACATCCCCAGCCACTCCCAAACTCAACCTAAAGCACCCCACAAGTCGGCAACAACGCCGAAACAAAGAAAGTTCACCAGAACATCCCCAGCCACACTCCCAAACTCAACATAAAGCACCCCCGATCACGGCAGCAATTCGCTAATGTTGCGATGCTTACAAAATCGTCACAAAACTTTATCAAAACAAGAAAACTTTGCAAAATACAAATAAGGTTGCAACGAGAATCTGAATATGTTGTATGAATTTATATACTCGTAAGTTGTAGCGAAACAACTTCTTTGTTCTAATCTAAGCTGACACGCCGAATCTTACATACAAGGTTTACTGTGGGGAAGTCGAGTTGGGTCTCAGATTTCACAAGGTTCCTCAGTTGGTCCCTCGGCGTCGAGAGACATGTTTGAAACGTTGCGAGAGCAGGGGGAACCTCCATCGACAGGGCTGAAAGCACGTTACTCAAGTATTCAATATCGACTGACAGCTGCTGAGCTCCCTTGTCAGTTACATGCTGAATTCCCCTCAACTGGTCCATGTAAAGAGCAGTGGCTCCCTCTGCAACCTGCGGACCAAGAAACAAAAACGAATGAACATTGATTTTTTCCATTGAGATTTCCCATTAACCAGAATAGTTCGGCTATTGCGTACCTTGAACATCCATTCAGCTGCAAAGCACTGGGCTTCGTCATTGTTGGAATCACTATTCGATATGCCCTCGGCAAGTGGCTCCAACTGCTGGGGTAAAGTAAGAAGATATTCCCCTATGCTGGTAATGTAGGCTTGTGGGTAGGCACTGAAAGTCGGAAGATGGAAAGCGCTCTGCTCTTCGACCGCCACCCAGATGGGCAAACGCGATACGTCGCTAAGGCGTTGCCTTACCTTGGATATGAGGACATCATACACAAGTTCATTAATTGTATCAACGAATCCTGCAACTCTCTGTGATGCGTGAGGAAGAGCGTGAAATCTCGGGTCTTTTGACTGCAATTCATGCGAATGATTATTTAGGAATCAGCGAGAAGGAGAGCAGATGATAATGAAAAGGACGGAACAATGTTTTTTTTTTGCTGAAAAAAATAACTTCAGGGAAAGTTGGGGTTTAAAAGTGATCCAAACACATGTAAACTCGTGTACCTGATCCAATAAGTTAAATAGTTTGCGAGCCTTCTCTGGAACATCGACGAGACGTATAGCTGCAACATCCAAAGCAGCTCTTCCACCCAAGGAAGGCTGTCCATCGCCATCAGTATTTCCTCCATGCGAATAGTTCTGGTCCAAACTTGATCCAAACACAGAAAATGACAGACTAGTGCTTACTCTAGCTAGAGCAGCTCTCAAGGATGCTTCAAACACAGAGGATCTGCTTGTCAAACAGTCTGCAACAGTGAGTATTTGAAGGGCCCCCTGGACAATTGACCATTCCTCTTCGTTTGAGGACGAGTCAGCTTTCCGTATGCTTTGACTCCCATCCTTGGGATCCATAGAATCATTATCCACTCCACAGACAGCCCTTAATGATCTGAGGGTTTCTTGGAGAGAAGAGATGTACTGGAGCATTATATCATCAAGTGCAAGAAGCAGCTCATCCACCTCGGACCCACCAGTGAAGCTGAGGCATCTCTCAACAGAAGCTTCTAGAAGAACAATTACTTGTGGGATAGACTCTTCCATCCTTCGAACTGTTTCACTCAGTTCAATTCCTTGGGCTCCCACACCACGAGTAACTGCTCCTCTTAGATCAACCCCAGCAATCTCGGAGGACAAGATGGCACGCTCCATCTGTCCATACCTACAAGCATATAATTTTAATAGGTAAAAACAAATTGAGATAATCACCCACTTTATTGAGCTAATGAGGAATACAAGAAGTTCATTGAACTAGAGAATCACAGATCTCTTGTGATCAAAAGTAAACCCGAGAAGTATTGAACATAGGGGAGACCTGTTCATTTAAGTTAACGATAGCTCACCTCTGTTTGTATGCTTCATAGGGCAGGTAAACAGCCTTCAGCGTATCCATGAGAACTCGAAGATCAGATTCTGAAAACAAGTGTTGGATATTCCTTGCAAAAGTACCAGTAGTATTGTGCAATTCGATTAGTGCTTTGAGGTGCTTAGTCTGAAGCTTGATGCCCTTTGGCATATCTCCCGACAAAATATCCAGTATGCCTGAATTCGTAAATGGAGATATGAGCTTCAACAGGCGAGTAAAATAAGAAAAAGAAGCATCTAAAAACACATAACTATCTTGCTTCTATTGGGGCATTGAGTAATAGCTCAGTTTAGATTTAAGGATCAACAACCGTCTTATGCAACCACTATATATCTAGTAAACTAGCAATTGGATTGATCGAAAAACATAAGAATATATGAAATGAAGAAGATGATTGGATGGACCTTTTGAAAGTGCTTTAGTTTCAGGAACGACTTCTCCAGTGGCAAGGTCAAGTCGAGAGACAAAACTTGCTCCCACAGCTGCTATTGTTTCAACCAGTAGCTTTGGTACCAGCACCTTATAATCATCAGGGAAAGCAACCATGCACCTATAACTGTAATTTTAGTATCTAGTTCGAACACTGAGGTAGAACTAGTATAAAAAGCACGTAGGTAGACATAATGCACTGGCTTCTGATGTTTACTACCGGAGGCAATTTATTATAAAAATAGCAAAAAGGCCTAACAATACAGCAGTGAATTGAGAATGTCTATCAAATTGTATGTCTCCAGGGCAATGAAGTTCATTGAAGGCCAAGGCTTTCGGCAATCTGAGGTTAATTCCCAGATGGCGAATCAAACTTTTTATAATTTTTTTCTCCATGTTTGAGCATGAAAAAGATACCATTTAGTCTACTTAGAAAGTCATTGTTCTTTCATTACTAGGAAGGCTGCCAGCTGTGTTTAATAAGATAAACTAGCATAGTCTTCTACTCTGTTCTAAATGGCTGTCACAGCTTATAATAGCTGGAGGCTAGAATTTTTCCGTTTAGAGAAACCAACTCTGGTTGAAATTAAGGGAGAAGAAGAATATACCACTTCCATTCTTGTTCAAGATACATCAGCAGTTCATCATAGAAGCTCGGCAACCAACTTGAAAAAGGAACTGTTGGCAAATCAGTGTTGCCTGCAGTCCTTCCGAACTCATTCCTGCCATTTGCATGCTTAGTAGCTAGCTGCCTAGCATCAAAATCCTCCCACATCTGCTTGATTGGCTTCAAATGAACTTTAGAATAATGCACCTCGAGAGACTTGAATCTGCCAATTCTCATCAGAATTCCACGCAACTCTTGTGCAACTTCAACCTATACTAACAGCAGGCAGTGTGAGTAAACACCCTAATCACATATGTAGACTGGAAGCCAAGAAATGCACGTTCTCTGGGATCATGGATAACCTTGCGGTTCGATAATGCATCTGTTAGACGAGGCTGCACCATCGAATCAAGCCTATCCTCTAAGACCTCAAGTTGCTTTCTCACATTAGCAAATTCAGCAACCTATTGCAGAGAGAGTAGATAAGAGAATGAGCAACTGAGTTAGCACTATCAGCAACATGAAAACGTAAAACACGGATGGTAGATCAACGGAACTTGATAATAACCTCGCCAACAGCAGACAAGCAGTGTCTCATATTAGCCAATGTTTCTGCAGCACGAGGAAGATCACCACTGGCAAACACATCCTCCACTGTAGAACTTAATTGGGTTAATCCCGCTGCATCCTGCAATGAAAGTATGAAACGCATCAAGACAAAAGTAATCAATTCATCATGCAAATACATAAACAATCGAGAAATCCCATTCTTTCCAGTTAATTTGCAGAATAAACACCTGTAGAGTCTCGTACGCAGCTTCCATTCTCTGTTTTACAGTATCAACCTTAGCAAGAGCAGCTATAGACTCAGCCGAAGACCCCTCTGCCTACACACATCAAACCAAAACCGAAGCAGAATTATCAAATCTCCAGCTAATTTACTTGATTACCACACTGCAGCAATGCACAGATCTCCATTCGATGAAAGCCAAAGGAGGAAAACCTTTTTGAGCTTCTGAAGGATTGCGGAGATCGAGCTACGAAGCGAAACGGCATCATCACGGAGGCGAACAACATCACGAGTAGCGCGAGGGACGCGGAGGAGCGCGGCAGCGCTCTGCTCCTCGAGCGACGCCGCAATCTCCTCGGACATCATCTGCAGCTTCATTTCCATATCGACGAGGTGGTCGTCGAGGGATTCCTGCGGGTGCCGGGTCTGGCAAGCGAAGTTGATCCATTTCTTCGGGTCGAATTTCTCGTCGGAGAACGGACCTAGATCCAGCATCATCTTCCCGGCTGAGTTCTGATTACTTTACCTCCGTCTCATCAGGATTCCGCTACAAACTTCCTCAGTCCCTCACTGTGCAGAGCAAATTTCATTAACGGTTTCTCGAAGAACAACTGCCAGTCTGTTAGTCTCCTAACTGATGTCTTTGTTAGGAGATGCTAACACGGTTTGGATTTTGTCCACGTAGGCCTAGCTGAGATCCAACGGAGGGGATAGATGGGCTAATTTAAGTGGGGTTTTGTGGGTTTTTTAGCCCAGTCGAGAAAGGAGAGGGAGCTGATGGGTGGCGGCTCGGTAGGACCAGTTGTCAAGGGCGGGAGAAAGGGAAAAAAAGGGAGAGGGTGGATGATTTATTTGGGGAAATGATTAAAATGGGGGAGAGAAGCTGAAAAAGTGGCTTCTGTGGGTCCACCAAGAAGCTGATTAATTGGAGAGAGGAGAGAAATGACGAAAAAATATAAAGAAAAGTGATAAATAATTGGAGAGAGGAGGGAAGTGACAGAAAAGAAAGAAAAAAAAAAGGAAAAAGTAATTGCAAGAAAAAGAGAAGTGACGAAAAAGTGGGGGAAAAGAGTGATTGGGGGAATTTATTTTTGGACCACTTCTTTTCTCTCTCAACCTCTTTTTTTTTTTTTTTGTGTGTGTGTGGATATTTATCCATGGGCTGAAGGATATCAAGTTTATATGGTCAGA